TTACATAAAAAAAAAATGAATCTGAAAAAATCTTAGGAAGTACAAAAAGCCCTCTTTCCATCGTAAGTCATAGGTCAAAATAGACAGTTAACATTAAAAAATATAAACTTGTTTTCTTGCTGTTAATTTTTTTTTCTGAACATTTTTTGTTAAGTAAGACTTTTATATCTATTAATAACTTGCATTTTAATAATTTACTCATCATTTATTTTTATGAAAACAGAAAATTATTTTGATGACAAATTCGTGAATATTTCCCGTGCCTTATAATCAAACATAATTTTCTACAATAAAAGTTTAATAGCAATTGTGTGCTTTTCTTTCCATAGCAATTTTTTAATTTTGCATTTTTAATTCTGTTCTATAAAATCTGTTGTTGTTGAAATTTTTATTTTTAGGTTTTTTTATTAATCCGTTTAGTGATGTTCTTTTCTTTGTATTACGAGCAATTTTTATTTAAATTTATCCGCCTTTATTATTTTTTTGTTTAATTTTATTTGCAAGCATAAACTTGCAGGCATGCTTACTATGTATTAGTTATTGTTTTAATAATTGATGTAGCTAATTACTTTTAATTATAGCCTAGGTTTTATCAGTAGTTGTTTATTATAGGAACAAGAACACGTGTAAAACATTTTTGGGAAAACTTGTGTGGTGACCTGGGAATCTTAAGTCATACAAATGATGTTTAGTACTATATATTTTTTTAATGATTGATATAATCACCCTTATTTTTCTTTAAATAAATTATTAAGTTTTATGCTCTACCTTCTAAAATATTATTCCATATTAAACTTCTAGGTTCAATGAAATAATTTTTCTCTTCAAAAACCTGCAAGATTTTTTTGTAAAATCATAACTATATATTTTAAGCATTAATTTTTCCGAAATGGTTTTAAAGAAGTGTTTCTAGCTAATAATTAAACAAAAGTATTCCTTTATTTTTCTTATCTATAAAATGGTAAATAAATTAAATTTACTAAGGTAATAATTTAAACTGAAATTTTATTTATTAACGCGAGTTATCTATAGTTGCAATTTAACTAACAGTTTTTTTTTTTTTTGCAACTATAGATAACTCGTGTTATTAACTTTTAGAAATTCATTAAATTTTTTATTTAAAAAAAAAGATAGTTTTTATCAATGTCAAAAAAATAAATTAATAAACTGAAATATTTGTTTTATTTCAAAAATCGAATTTTTGTTTAAAAAGGAAAATGTATAAATAACTGATGTAATAAGCTTTTATAAAATGTTCTTAAATTATTATTTTTTTTTATCCAAAAGTAAGTGATAGATTAGTTTTTATCATTAGTACAAAAGTAAAAAAAAAGGGGGGGAAGACATAAATTGAAATATTATTTTTTCTAATTTAATTAATTATCATTGTACTTCTTTAACTTTCATCAAGAGAAGAAAACGCATAGATAACTGGCTTCTGTTTATAACAATCTAATTCAAGCCATACCATTCACATTTAAGAAGCATTTCACGTAATCGTCCCTATTTAACTGTTTGAATTGGAATCTTTTAAAGTGAATACGCCCAGGATGCTGCCTTACTGACTATGCCTCTAAATTGTTTCCTTACTTAGCCTTTCATATTCAATTACTTTACATTATTCAAAGTAAAGTTTACGAACGGACAGCGTCCTCATATGTTTACAGTTATGAAACGTCAAACAGTTAAGATTGCAAAATAATCATATTCTTGAAACTAAGTTTTGGGTGGAGTCCAACTAACATCCTCGTTGTTGTCTTCATTTAACTATTTTACAGTTGCAAACATCTTGCTTAATATCTTTGTTCCGAGCTGGTCGCAGACCCGATACTTGCCGCTTATAACAAGCGTCTGGAAGTAGCTATTAATGCACCTTTTGTTTGGCGCTCTCTACATTATAAAAAAAACCAATTTATTCTTTTCTCACTTGGCGAAGATGTCTTTTTATTTTTTATTTATTCGTTTTTCATTGACTTGGCGCTCTTTAGAAATGGTCACACTTGAGTAGATTTGCCATTAACGTCCTGGAAATAGATAATTTTGATGAGATAATGCTGGACTCTCGGTTCAGAGTTGCACACAGGAATTCTGATGAGCTTTTCTATGGTTAGGTGTTTAATTTGTGCAAACAGTTTTCAACTTGCTTTTATTCGCTTCAGTTCTTTAGAAAATATGTTTTGGTAAAAGTGGTTAATAATCGAATCAAAAAATTGTTCGAGAGCAATCAACTTTCTCTTTTCATTTCCCTCAACTTTATTCTTCCTCAATTTTTTTTTTGTAATGTTTAAAGTATGCTTTTCAATAACCAGTTTTACAATACACTAGATCGATTTGAAAAGATTTTTTTATAAAATTTTGCTCAGGAATATGCGATGTTAATTATCTATTATTTATTATACCGTGCTTTGTTTGAAATAATTCACTATATGTTTATTTTTTCATTATTTGTTATTATCTCAATGCCATTTCTTAAACCAGGTGATACGAAATTTTAATGTAGTTATGTTTAATGCGCGCTTTCAATAACCAGTTTTATAATATCTATTGATCAATTTAAAAAGATGTTTATAGCATATTTTACGCGGACAGATGCGTATTTAGTTAGTTACCTGTTAGTTATTACAGTTCTGTGGTGAAAAAGCATAATATATGTATATTTAAGAGTCTTAAAAATAAATAAAAATTTACACAAATTTTTTAGTGTTATTATCATCGAGGCATTCTTCAATAAAAAGTTTTTTAATACAATGGTTCAACTAAAAAAGTTCTATTTCAAACTTCACGCAGAAATATGTATATTAAATTATTACACGAAGTTTTGCTAGTGAAGAACTATGTATGGAAATTTATATGATTTACATACAATATATATGCAAATATGCTCTGTGCAATTTTTTAAGACTCAAACTTTAAATCTAATATCTAATTTAAATATCTAATTTTAAATATATTTTTGTTTTGTGTAGCTTAAAATTATTGAAATCTGTAACCAAACTGTAAACGACTGTAAGTCAAAATTTTTTATTTGCAAATGATCATTATAAATAGTGTAGTTAATAAAAAAAAAAAAAAAAAACGTGTTGCCTTTGATGCCATATTGGTTAAAACGAAGTGAATTTCCCTTAAAACAGAACAAGATTTGAAAAAATATATCAAAGTTTTGTTGCTTATGATCAACATCAGATGAAAAACGGTTAAAATTATTCTTGTATTTTAATAACCTTCGCGAATTAGTTCGCACTTTTCCTATCTCTAATACAGTTTTATTTTCAATGTTTGTTAATTAACGTATTTTATTTCTTATTTAAATTACCTTATACCCATGCTTGTGTTTTATTCACGCTATTAAGCATAAAGAATAAATATAATCAGATATCATAACAATAACTTTTATTGAAAAAAATTTACTTTATAGATCAAAAGGAAAGTTTAAATTCGATATTAATCTTTATATTTGTTATTAAAAAATCTAATATCTTGCATAAAAATTAAGTTTTTCATTTATTTAGTTTATTTTGCATATCATATTTTCTGTGCACCTCAAAATAGAAGGGTTTTTTTTAAAAAAAATAAATTCTGATTTATATAAATTTTTATTTATATTTTGTGATTAATATTATGTATTAAGTTCTGTGTAAGTTAAGTATTAAGTTCTGCGTGCATATTTTAGTTATAATTTTGTTTTGATTTGTTGCGTATATTTAAATTTTAAGAAAAGTGTAATAATTACGGATTGCTTATAATTTTATTTATTATCCATGTAAATACAGTAAAAAAAATATCCCTAACTTATAATAATTTTAGATTGATCAGTATCTTCGATACATTTCTCTATTTCATTCATGTACATTTTAAAATAAATATCCCGAAAGTGTAATTATTTTGGATTGATCAGCATTGTCAATAAATTTCTTTATTTCATTCATTTAAGCACATTTTAAAATAAATATCTCGAAAGTGTAATTATTTTGGATTGATCAGCATTGTCGATAAATTTCTTTATTTCATTCATGTAAACACAATAAAAAAGATATCCCAAAAGTATAATTATTTTGGATTGATCAGCATCGTCGATAAATTTCTCTATTTCTTTCACATAAACACATTTAAAAAGAAAAAAAAGACAAAACAAAAAAAAACTTATGTATAATTTTGGATTGATCAGCATCGTCTATAAATTTCTTTATTTCATTCCTATTTACACATTTAAAAAAAAAATTATCCCGAAAGTGTAATTATTTTGATCAGCACCGTCGATAAATTTCATTATTTCATTCATGTTAACACATTTAAAAAAAACTTATCCCGAAAATGCAATTATTTTGGATTGATCAGCAACATCGGTAAATTTCTGTATTTCATTCATGTAAACATAGTAAAAAAAATAAGTTATTTTTATTTATGCATTTATTTTTTTTTCTCTCTCGTAATTTACAAATTATTTCATTCACTCCAAATAGGAAGTAATCAGTTCTCACCTCTATTCATCTCTGATTTAATAACTGATACACTCCTATCTATTCTTATTTTTTTCATTCGACCTCGCCTATTAGGAATGAAAAAAGAGATTTTGTGAGTCCATCTCCTCATCTCTCCCATGTATCGTTTTTACTCCGCGAGCCCTGCAGGTAAGAAAATGGAAAAAAAGAGACCGACATTTAGTCTCTGCCAGGTGGAGCTTCTGTCTCCCTCTTTCCAACTCTTCTACATCTTTCCAACTCTTTTTATTCTTCTCTTCATTCTGTCAGAAGATGCATCGTCGCGAGTTGGTTCTCCGATTTTCTTTTTTTCTACTTTACGAATGGACTTGATGGATTTTTAGCACGTGCTTTTTGACTAAATGGTGCAATTCATGGATTACGTTTTTTTTGTTGGTTTTATTTTTTGCCGTTTTTTATTCTGATATTAGATCAATGGCTTGAAATTTAATCGAAGTAGATTGTTGTTTTAGCTGTTTTTTTTCTCTCTTTTTTTTGAAGATTTATGAAATGTTATCTAAATTTACAAACTGGTGTAAGTTTTCAAGACGTTTTTAGTGCTAAGAAGTTTAATTTACGGGTGCATATGTTACGTCATGACGTAGAAAATACATAAATTCATTTAAAGCAGTTTGTGTTGTGGTGTTTCATGGCGCTTGAAAATATGTTTGCGTCTTCAATACTTCAAAATTGGATTTTATGATTAGCATCAATTTGATTAGTGCTTTTTTTTGGTTAGAATTATTATTCGTATTTAAAATAGTGCGATTATGTTTTACTACTCCAATGTTATGCCTTATTATGGTTACGTTCACCATCCTGTACGTCAGAAGCCCTCCAAAAAAACAAGAGTGCACTTACACCCGGGTTATACTCACAAGAAAAAACGTTTCTCCCTCGCATATTACTTGAAATATGTACTGTGGAAGAAAATTCGTCGCTTTTGGAAAAAACGTCGGAACAGAAGCAAAAAGAAGAAAACTAGAAAGCCACCATCTGCTGTAACTGCCCTCAGCAATCGCGGAAGTGACGAAAAAATCGATATGAGAGACTTCTGGGGATCCAAGTATGGATCTCAATGGCTGTTCGCCAAGCAAAATCAGCTCCAGCAAGTCAATCATAATCATTTGGTGGAACTCGTCGATGCTTTCAAAACCATGGATCTAAAGTATGCCAAAAAGAATATTCCACCTGGTAACCAAATTCAATCTGATCCTAATATGGTGCCCACTCGATTCCAAAAGTCGAAAAGCAATTGCTGTCCTGAACATAGCTGTCCTTGCTCTAGGAAGCAAAAACGTAGAACACGTAAGGATGGTTTAGAAACTGAAGGAAGCGAATGGTCATTGTCTACTTTGCAAGTTCAGCAGAAGCCATATTCTAAGTGGCCACCTCATCCTCCGCCTGGTGCAAGGCACTATTGTGGTAAAGACGAACTGCTGGCCACAGTCCCGTCTCGTCAACACGCGTATGTGTACAATTGGTTGTACGTCGACCAAATTCAGAGTCGTTGCAATCTTCCTTTATCCCGGGAATATTTGGATCAAGTTAAATCTCGGTTGTCTCGATCTCCTCGATCTAAGAGGAAAAGCAGGAGACAAGATACTTTCAGCCAAACTTCATCGAGTTGTAGTGAATGTTCCAGTACGATAGGTCGTCGTCAAAAAGCAAAGATTCTGAAAAAGCAGATTAGGGTTCGTATATGTTTTGTTATAATTTATCAAAAATTTATAAATTTGTGCTCAAAAGCAATGTGAAACTGAATAATCGATAGGTTATTGAGTAAGAACAAAATATGGCAAATGCTCATATTTTCTGGCTTGTGTCAGCATTCACATAGTCGTTTTGTGGTTAGTCCGAAAGGTTTGTTTATTTGTATTTTCACTTTAACAGGTAATCGACATTCATGTTATTTGTTTAATGTCGCCATTCAGCATACACTGACGACAGTGCTGTAGGTTATTATATACATATTTAAAAACACCTTTGTTCATCACCAAATAATAGTATTCCATAAATATTTCAGAACTACTTCAAAGTGGTTATCATTCATTGAAATGGTGACATTTACTTATTTAATTCTTTCACAGTAGCAGATTCAGTATATGTTATCATGTTATGTGTTATGTTATCATATATGTTATCTCCGAATGCTATTTTGAATCTCTTATAACTCAACAACCGTTAGCACTAAGATTTTGAAATTTGGACATCGACTCCGAGAAGCAATTTTAATCCCCGATTCGAAAAATTTAAAAAGAAATTTAATTATTTCTTTTGGGAAAAATGAATTTTTTTTTTTTTTATCTTAGCCTAACGTTAAACATTGTTATATATAACATTGCATTGTAAATGATTCTTTTTAAGATTTTACACGCTCTTTAATATTTATTTTTTACAAGTTCAGTCATCAGTGAATGACATGTGAATCGGTACTACCTCACCAAATTACCACTTTCAAAGTTATCTGAATCTACGTGTTTATTTTTTTTTTATAGTTGTGCTTTTAAAGCGTGTTTTTGGAGAAAAAATTAAGGTGCAATTTTTTTTCAGAGATTTAATGAATCCTGAGACGAAAAAATAAGAAATAAAATAATTTAAAAATTTAAAGACAAAAAATAAAAACTTTACTATGAGTTTGCACAAAAGAGTAATTATTAAGCTATTGCCTGTAAATTATAAAAATCGAGTTTATATACTCTCGGCTAATTTTCCAGGTGTAGTGTTATGTTCATTTTATATAAAAATCATCTTCAATGTGCCACTAAAAATTTTTTTTTAAAGCAGATGAAATTTAAAAATATTCTTGCGACGCATTTTTTATAATAGACTGATTTTATATAAAATGAACGTAATGCCTGGAAAATTAACAGAGAGTATATAAACTCAATTTTTATAATTTATCGGCAATATTTTATTTATTACTTTTCCGTACAGACCCATATTAAGAAGAAAAAAAGTTTTTTTTTTTCAGTTTTTTCACCTATTTTATTGTCATTATTTGAAAAGTTAATGTCTATTATACAGTTGCCAACTATTTCTGCTTTTGAAGATTTTGATTGATATTTAAAGTAAAAATTTATAGCTTAATTTAGAATGATTTTGATCACCATTGTCTATTGTAATAAATTAAGCAAGCATATAAATTTGTGATCATCATTCGGTGAAGTATTTAAGTTCAAGGGGGGGGGGGGAAATCTCTGCCTACAATTGTTTTTCACCACTTCTGAAAATCATCCTTGGAAAGAGAAAAAGTGAAACGGTGGGATAAAAGTTATTGGGTATAAAAGTTAACTGAATTTTTAATTTAAGTTTTTTTCTAAAAGAAAATTAATTTATGAAATTAATTTCTTTTCTGAAAGGTTCTGAAACATGTAGTACTGCCTATAATGGCATCACTAGTATTAAATACATAGAACGTTCATATATGTTTGAAACGAATTTACTTAGAATCAATTAAATATTAATTTTTAATTTCTTAAAAGAATTAATATATTAAAATATCACATTTTTTAATATTTTACTTTTTTTTAATGTTACTATCATTTTACCGATTGTGAAACAATGACACGCCATTAAAATTTCTATACAGTTTGGAATTTTTTTATGGGTAATAATGGCTCAATGAGCCACATTGGCAATCTAATTTAACTCCTTCAATACGTTGAAAAATGCATTATGTATTTCCAAAGAAAGTAACAAAGTATCAGTAAGAAAATGAGTTCGAGATTTTGTTTCAAATCTTTGGCATGTCCAATGATTGTCAATAATATTTACAATTAATCTGAAATTCCTTAAACTTAGAAAATCAAATTATTTATTAAATCTTATATGCGTTCTGTTTTTAAGAATTGTTTGAAATTACGAAGTGCTTGATTTTGTGAATTCTTGAGGGACAAACATTATTTTTTTTAAAAACTATGTTCTTGAAATAGTTTAATGTTTTAAATAAATATTATCTACCGTTAAAATTGCAATTTTTTGTGGAATGGTCTGCTTGAAGTACCTTGCGAATTTCTGTAATTTCTTCGAATTTTGAATGCGAATTTCTATAAACTTAAATTCTAAATACTCTTTAAAAAAAATTTAGTGACTTTTTATTATGAGCTTTAATTTTTACTACTTATTATTAATTTTATGTCATCTAACAATTTTCGTGACATAATTTCTAAGATACAAAAGAACTAGAACCCAGAGATGCCAACTTGCCCCCTTTGTAACAATTTATTTTCAATTGTAACGACATTTTAGATAATTTTAGTTTAGTAATTTTCATTTGAAGTAATTTTTTCACTACTACATAGCAGGAATTCAAAGTTTCATATGAATTGCAACTTTATGACAGTTATCTAGTGGTGGCACTTTTTAAAAGTTGGCGTAATTAACCTTATTTTACAAGTGTTAATACTTAATTCGCTACCAATCTAATAAAATTTTCGTAGAAAGCCGAGCCGTTGGCAACCCTAAGAACCTCTTTCGATTCAGTTAAAATTCTAAATCAAATCTAATAAATTCTGAAAATGCAGAGCGATAAAAAATAATTTATAACCGTAAAAAAAAACTTTGCTTTTGATTTATAAAATTTATAGTTAAATTGCAAATTGTTGAATTATTTATACGGTTATTACTAAAATTAATTGTACTTTGTTAATAATAAAGTAATTTATTGCTAATAAATATTTGTAATTTTTTTCTGTTTTCTAAGGCAGATTTTTATTAGTGAAACGTTTGGTTTTTAAAGTCGAACCATTAATATATAGTTCTGTAATTCACCTTTTACTTGGAAGTTTCAGAGGTGATCAACCGTTTTATTCTGCATTTCAAAATAGCCCGAGAAACCGACGTTTTATTGCCCTTTCTTGTCAATCTGTAACCAAGAGTCTCAATTTTTATTACACTACTTGCTAGATGAAGAAGAACAACCGCTGTTAAAAACTCGTCTGGTCAATTTTTTTTTCATTCTTTTTTCTTACTTTGCTTTTAATTTTTTTTTATTTATTTTTTTTAACATCCTCAATTCAATGTAAGAAACAGCTGAGTTCACAGGACGGAAACAGACTTCACATTTTAAAAAGTTAACCGTTGATGAAATTGAATGACGGAAATTATTATTACTTGGTTTATTTTATTGTCAGTAGACATATTTTAATTGCTTCCAAATTTTTTTTTTCTTCAATTAATGTCACATTTGGCTATAATTTTAACTTTTTAGAATTAGTTATGTGCTATTTCTTGCATAATCATATATTTTCTTTTGATGCTTTTGAATTGTGATTTTTTTATGACTCTTGTGTTGTTTTTGTGGTGCTACTCTGGTGCTGGTTTGGCGCTTTCATTCTGTTTTTGTTTTTTCAAATATATGTTATGAGATACATTGTTAGCTCTTTTTTCTTACTCTGGTGTTTTTGATACTTTTATGGTGTTTTTAATACTTATGTGGTGATTTTGGTGCTTTAAATGCTGTTTTTTCTTATTTTATTAGCTTATTTTATGCTCTTTGTGCAGTTTATTTTGGGATCTCTCGTGTTAGGGGGGGAGGGTACTCTTATGCTGTTTTTTTTTTTTTTTTTTTTTTTTTTAATTCTATTAGTCTAAAAAAAAGGGATGGAAATTTGAAGTTCACAAATGCTAAATTAATGTTGAAAACAACACTATTACAAACATATATCAAACGTTAAAACATAGCATTTTTAAGCTGTTCTGCTTTTTGTGTTAAGATAAAAATATGCAGGGCCCGCACAAAGCAGGGCTAAAGAGAATAGAAGGGCTGGTTCACTCCTTTGAAGTATCTCTTNGAATGAAATTCTGTTTTAGCGAAAGTATTGGCAAATGATTTTTTCCACTTGAAAGAAAAATATATATTTAACTCAATCCGAAAATTACGTCAAAATTAGGTTTTCTAAACACATCAATATTTATTTTTTTCGATTAGAGTAATTTTCGGTATATTAGCCAATATATAGACCGCATAGCCAAATAGAATTGGGTTCAAATAGTACAATCCTGAAACATACTAATAGTTTTAATATGTGAAAAATTTAATCATAAAATTTTTTTAAGATTTGCATTTGGTGAAGACTTTTGAAAATTGGCAAATACTTAGCTAATTTACTGGCTAATAATTTGAAATCCTTAGCGCGGGCCCTGAATATTTAAACGTTAATCTATTTGAAAATTGATCAATTAGAATTAGGATTGTTTTTCAAAAGAGTTGGAGCGAATTTTTTTTTCTCCTTACAAAAATTACCCCAGATTTATCCAATCTTCCTTCAAATCATTGCGATTGTGTTTTCATTTTGAAAATTCTTCACATATACCTTAAAAAAAAAAAACCTTTTTATTAATACAAAATTATTTAAATCTTTCCATTTCTGCTTCAATTCCTTTTCGATTGTTTCACAATGAAATTTTTCCACCCTTAAAAAAAAGTGTTAAAATTTGGCAAATTAGTTGCTGTAAAAAATAAACGTTTGTTATTCATTGCAAAAGTGAAAAATGATAAAATTGCTATTATTGTATTTCAGAAAACATGTGAATAACATACTATACATCTTTAATCTAATGATTATTATGGGTTATAAATTTACTTGTAGTAAATTATTTACACCAATGAAAAATATTGTTTGATAAAATTTCTTGTTTGAGTAAAACTATTGCTTTTGCACCTTATAACGCAAAAGATTAAACTCTCGTT